GAGAGGGCCTGCGTTTTCCCTAGATCTCTTTTTATCACTGATGTATCTACAGAAGTTTTTCTTGTTGCCCTTGATGTCCCTGGCCAGATTTAACTCTATCAGGGCTTTAGCTTTCCTAACCTGATCTCTGGTTGCTCGGACAAATTCTCTGTATTCTTCCCAGGCTACGTGTCCTTGTTTCCACCCTCTGCAGGCCTTCTTTTTGTGCCTGAGTTGGTCCAGGAACTCCTTGTTCATCCATGCAGGCCTCCTAGTGTTCCTACCTAACTTTCTCTTTGTTGGGATGCACTGCTCCTGAGCTTGGAGGAGGTGATCCTTGAATATTAACCAGCTTTCTTGTGCCCCTCTTCCCTCCAGGGCTTCAGCCCATTGTACTCTAGCGAGGAGATCCCTGAAGAGGCCGAAGTCTGCTCTCCTGAAATCCAGGGTAGTCAGTTTGCTGTGCACCCTCCTTCCTTCCCTAAGAATCTTGAATTCCACCATTTCATCCTAAGAATCTTGAATTCCATCATTTCATGATCACTGCAGCCAAGGCTGTCTTGAGCATCACGTTCCCCAGCAGCGCTTCTTTGTTGGTGAGAACAAGGTCCAGCAAAGCACCTCTCCTCATTGGTTCCTCTACCACTTGGAGAAGGAAGTTATCGTCCATGCATATCATCTCAGCCTCTTTTTCTCCAAACTAGACAAGCCCAAAGTCCTTAGCTGCTCCTTAAAGGACATTCCTTCCAGGCCTTTCACCAGCTTTGTTGCCCTCCTCTGGACATATTCAAGGACCTTCATATCCTTCTTAAATCGTGGTGCCCAGAACTGCACGCAGTACTCAAGGTGAGGCTGCATCAACATTAAGTACAGCAGGATAACCACCTCTTTTGACCTGCTGGTTACGCTGTTTGAAGCACCCCAGGATGTGGTTTGCCCCCTTGGCTGCCAGGGCACACTACTGACTCATACTGAGTCTGCTGTTGGCCAGCACCCCCAGATTCCTTTCTGCAGGGCTGCTCTCCAGCCACTCCTCCCCCAACCTATACTTGTGTCCAGCATTAGTTCATCCCAGGTGCAGAATCTGGCACTTGTTCTTGTCAAATTTCATGCCATTGATGATTGCCTAGTGCGCCAATCTATCCAGATCCCTCTGCAAGACCTCTTGTCCCTCATGAGAATCAAAAGCACCTTGCAGTCTGGTATCATCTGCAGCCTTACTAACGAGGCATTCAAATCCTGCATCTAGATAATTGATTAAAATCTGGAACAGAACTGGTCCTAGAATTGAGCCCTGAGGAACAACACTGGTGACCGGTTGCCAACGAGATGCAGCCTCATTCACAACAACCCTCTGAGCTTTGCCCTTTGGCCAGTTTTTCATGCACTGCACCGTGTACCTGCTCATGTCACAGCTGGACATCTTGTTCAGGAGGATGCTGTGAGGGACAGTATCAAAAGCCTTACTAAAATCCAGAAACACTACATCCGTCACCTTCCCTTCAGCCACCAACAGGGTGACCTTATTGTAGAAGGACAGCAAATCAGTTAGATAGGACCTTTCCGTCATGAACCCGTGTTGACTGTGCCTGATGATCGCATTGTCCTTTAAAGACCTTTCAACACCACCCAGTATGATCTTCTCCAAAATTTTTCCAGGTACTGAGGTTAGACTAACCAGTCTGTAGTTACTTGGGTCTTCCCTCACGTCCTTCTTATAAATGGGAATAACGATTTTAATAAGGTTAAGTGACGTGTTAAACAAATAGGGTTGGAGCGGCCTCGCTGAAACACAGCTGAGAATAACAATCCCTCCCCCTTCTCTTTCAGTCTGGAAACGTTGGTCACTCTTGTGTTTAGAGGACAAGAAAACCCCATTGTTAGATTTGGTTTTCAGCATAGCCTGTGATGTTCCTCAGCAGAGCTAACTCTCCTCTCCACTCCAGGCTTAAAATTCAGGACTTAAACTTGCTGTTCTCTTGTTTCTGAGGAAGAGGCAGCTCTCCAGTTCCATTCAGCCACCCACATGCAAAAGCCCCTAAATGTCAAGAAACTTCACTAAAAAAAAAAGGGGGAGTCAGACACATTAAAAATATAGCTAATGAGCCATGATTAAACAGCCGCTTTAATGATGAGGAAGAATAAACCGTAAAAAGCTGTTTTGCATTACACATGCACGACCTTTACCAGGGCAGCAAGCAGCTATCAGCAGGCCAGGGAGCTGAAGAAAACATGGCAATTATTTAACATTTCAGAGGCTGCACAGGAAGCACGAGGTCCTCACGCCCAAGGAAATCTTCATGAGAGGAACGCTACACTTTCGCAGAGGCACAGCCTATACGTCCACCCTTTCCAGACAGACCCTCTGGCTCACTTACCTGTTTAGGGTCGACAGTGGCAGCCGGGGACTCCAGTTCTATTGTTACAGGACCATCATTCTGGATGTGTACCTGCATGTAGGCACCAAACTTGCCATCTGAAAAGGGAAGAGACGAGAAGTGCTGAGGGCTCTTGAAAGAATCACATATACCAAAATCTTTCCCAAATGTGCTACTAAAAAGAGGAAAAAAGAAAAAAAAAAACCACAAACATAAAAGGACTACCAACTAGCAAACTGCAGAAAGCTACTAGGGATAAAACAGTCTGTGTGCATCCAGCTCTGTGGTCTAACATTCAGAGGTGACAAGTACACAGCTAAGTACAGAGATGTCTGCAAAACAAGGTTATTAAAATTCAGGATGGGCAGGATAGTTCTCACAAGCAGATGAAATTTTCAAGGATGTAATGGCTAAGCCTAGGGGTCCAGTCCAGCTAACTAGCTGATCTTTGGAAGAAATCTTATAAATGGGCAAAAGATAAAATGTCCCAAAGTCTATTCTGAAGCATTTGACACTGAATACTCCAGAGAAGGGGACACTGGTATACAGCCCAGTCCCAGTCTGCTACAGCAATTTCAACATTCCTGCAAAATGGCAATGTAGGCCATTCTTTGTCAGAGTTTGGCAAAAAAGATTGTGTCTACTCCCTCAACCCTGCCTACTTCAAAGGAATACACTTCTGAAATCAGAGATGTGTAGGTCATTTGTCATCAATAGCATTTACTAGTACACCAGTTGAGGCACAGAGCACACTTCTGGTAAGCATTTAAGAAGTTTCCATCACAACAGACCCACGACATTTTTATCCTGTACAGTCTACAAAAGCCATCCTGCCACCTTCTCCTCACATCTCATTCTAATCTGTGCAAGCTTCCTTGCTCCGTTTCCTCTAGTCCAGTTTGATACTCCTCAAACTCACCCCACCCCTGGCTGAGCCTACTCGACTGCTCACTCCCACATACTCTCTTCTCCTGCCCCACACACCTGAGTAGCCTTTCTAGACCTTTCTGGCAGGGACAGCAAAAAGAACAGATACTATCATATAAATAAAAATGTATGAAAGAAGAGGTGTAGTGCAGCAAGCAGAGAGCAGTTATCCAGAGACTGAACAGCCTCACTTACTGGGAAGGCAGGCTGGAGCCTGCTCAGCAACACAACCAACACCTCTTCCAGTACCACCTTGGACAGTGAGCCAGAAGATGCTGAAAGCAGTAGGCTCAAACTTCAATGGAGTAACCACTCACTGAGAATATTTGCATGTGACTTTGTATAGCTTTCCATTGCAACATGTGGTGGCCCTGGCTGAACAGAGGTCAAACCAAAGTGTCCTGATCCTTCATGAACATGTTACTGGGGACAAAGAGCTCTGGAAGAGTTTTCAGTCTCTCCCTGGAACCTCCTGTGAATCAGACGGAAGTCTGGTATTTGCTTAAAGGAAAAAGGAATATCACAACAGATCTACTGCCCAATAGCTTTTCCAAAGGCTGTATGCCACAAGCCATACCATGAGCTAGAGATACAAGCTCTGGCAAAGCCAAACACTACAGCACTGCACAAGAGACTGCTGCCAATAGTCCAGCGGCCAAGGAAAAGGTCCGTAGAGTGAGTGACCACCAAAGAGCCACAGCAACAGAAATGCCAATGGGAAGGGGTCAAGAGCATGATTCAAGCAAATATTTCTATGAAAAGGAATGTGATTTACTGAACAGAAAGCTACACAGTTTTACCAGGTGCACTCCTCAGATGTTTTCTGCCCCACAGAGGAGGTGGCAGAAGAGAACACACGCCTAGTGTCCCAGCTTGCTGCCTCTACCCAGGCTCCTTTGATCAAATTGACCTTCTTCAATGTTTCATGTGGGCAGAGAAATGTTACGGGTGTTGAATCTAGAAACCTGACAAAGGCAAGGCTGCCACAGCTGCACAACCCCACGTCCAAACACAAACAAGATTAAGTATTCCCAGTAGGCACATATACAAACACGCATGCTACACAACCACACACATATATACACACAGCCAGCGAGCTGCACAGATATCAACACGGACACATTCAGCACTCACATGAACACGAATACCACCTACAGCCTCACCCTGGACCTGTTGCTGGCTGACCAAGACCAAGGTCCATTAGTAGGAAATACGTACATGTATACAATGTGGATCCCTCCCTTAGACACTCAGTCTGCCCAGTAGCTGCCCGAGGATCTTGGCCTCCCCAGATGCTGGCACCTGGGTAGACAAGTCCCTGAGGCCTGCAGCCCTGCTCCAGTTGTTGTCACAGAACCTCTCGCACACATGTACACACACACACACACACCCCCTACCCCCATCTCTCCAGCAGTTTGCTGGCCCCTCCTAGTCTTACCCTTTAGAGACACACAGACAGAAAGACACCCGGTCTCTCCAGCAGCTGGCCAGGACTCCTCTAGTCCCTCCAAGAGCCAGCTTCTCCTGTGGTCTCACACTCAGAGACACACACCGGACCCAGCTCTGACCACCACAGCTCCTCATCAGTTCATCCTGCTGGGTATGTGCTCACTCACAGACCCTCACTCACAGATCCATGATCCCACTCCAGGTGCTGCACTCCATTTACACACATGCTCACAAAACAGTGGGTCCCTCACCCAGGAAAATAGTTAGCAATGGACTTCAGTAAGAAGACAAGGCAGACTGTGCTGATCAGGTGCAGGGCATAACCACAAGCACACTGACCAGCCATTGCTTACATGTGGCTGGCCCTTTTTATACCCATATCCCTTTATTCTCCCATGCTTGTTCCTCCTCAAATCACTTAGATCCACCCCTTTCCCTGCCTTTGCTTCCTCATCTAAACATCCCATAATACGTCTTGTGCCACTTTGAAATGCTCTTCCCCTGCATGCATCCCATGTCCCCAGGCAGTGACCCACCTCAGTCTGAAAGGCGCTCCAGAGAGCCACTCCTGTTGACTCCCTAGGATGGGCACCACCCTGGACCATGGGACTGAGGTTCCCCCATGACAGCCCAGGGAGGGGCCTGGCCAGGGTTTGCGATCCTCTGAGTCCAGAATCTGAGTTCCTCTGCCTGCTCTCTGCTCCTTTGTGTGTCTGCAGACCAGCTTTGAACCACACAACCTAACAAGAACTACTACAGCAGGAGCGAAAACATCTTCCCATCTGACAACTCCACTGTAGGGTCAGTACCCTCTGGAGGGAGGGGACAACTGAGGCTGTGGTGGCATCAAAGAATGGCACATCAACGGTTACTGCTTTAAAAAGGCGCAGCTGATGTGAATGGGTAAATCAAGTAAATAGAGATACCATGAAGCTATCAGTATTTCAGGAAGGTATCAATGTGTTCTGAATGCTAGCTAACAGCGCAAAAGAAAAAAGAAGAGAGTTACTAAATAATTATGGAAAATAACAGAAAATTTACAAGACAAAAGTATTACAAAGCGAGTTAAAAATAAAAAATCAGAGAGACCTGTTCTCATTTTATAAATTTGCAGGAGCCTGGAATATGTAAAGCGCTACACTGAGAAAAGATGTCAGAGCAATCAAAAAAATAGTGATTATAATCTTCCAGCACAGTTTTCAAACCCTTTGCCACCCATGATAGATGAGGACCTGCAGAGAAAACCCAGACAGTTTTTCCCTAAACCTGTAGCTTATGGTTTCACTGGAGAATCTGCAGACACAAGTTTTCACAGATGCCTATAAATGACTCTCAGTTGAGAAATGAAAGCTTGAAGAATGCTTACTTTTGGTTAGCTGTATCTGCACACCTGAAACCTAGCTACCATAATGTGTAAGAGTCTCTTGGAGACCAAATATCAACTACAGCACAGGAATCTGAGTTGGTTCCTGTACAGAAACAGACATCTAATCTGCATCTCATAAGCACAAACAGACAGTTTCTGCATCTGATAAGCACAACAAAACAACATTCCACACCTTCATGCAGGCAATGAGGGAAGGATCTACAGACACGCTTAGAAAACGGTTATATCGCTCCTTCAGGAAGATCAAGCAGATCCTACTTGAGCTGCTGCTCCTAGAAGGGTGGTTGTATGTACAGTGTATATGGAAAGAGATGTACCCATAAGCAGATCACATAGAATGGTTTGGGTTGGAAGGGATCTCAAAGATCATCTAGTTCCAACTCCCCTGCCACGTTTCGTTAACAAAATAATAAACAAAAAATACCATCTTAAACTTGTATCATCCCTCTGCTGTGCTTTATTCATAGAAAAGAACTGCCTTTTGCACTTCCCATATATGTATAGACATTAAAAAAAAAAAAAAAATAAAGTTCCCAGACCCCTTTTTTCAAGGGCTGATAAAGTGGTCGAATAAGCCCCCACCTTTACCAGAACACTCAAGGCGCTCCCAGTCACAAGCACCTTCTATCTTGTTTCAGCATCAGAACTACTGTCGAGGAACATCCTTCTACAACAGCTCCCTCCCATTCTCCTCACACTTAAACTTCCAGTCTTTTGACCCAAAGTCACCCCAGACCAAGGTGAATCACAGCTCAGAAACTTTAAGATTTAGAGCGAATGGCAACAGTACTTAAACCAGAAATGTCTGCTAATGCTGCCCTCCTCTACAGCCTCTCTCTTGCAGCCCTTCCTCTCAAAGACAGGAAGGGTCTCAACACCTTGCAACCACCACAATACAAAAGGCAGCGCAGGTTTCAGCCTCAGCAACCTCATTCTCTCAAAGCCAACTGAGGGAGAATTTCTTCACACATTCCAAAATCCCGTTACTGGTCTTAACCCAAAACGTCTCGTGGACCACTACGCACCCTCATCTTCAAGCTTTCAAACATACTGCACTGGTGATGTTGTCAGAAGCAGCTGCCACCCTCCCTTATCGCAAACTGACATGTCCTGTAGTTTCAGGGACAATGGTTTCTGCACAATGTGTTTTCCTCATGGGAAGCTTCTGGATTTTTGTGCTGGTAGCTCCCTTATACAACAAAACCAAAGGGTTCTAGTGGCCCATTAGTCCTCACAGCTCTTTTCAAGAAGCGGCCTCACTGTAACACAGCTTTCTTCTCTGCAGCTTCAGGGTCTGGTCCTGCCTGAAAGAAAAAGGGAAAGCTAAAACCTAGTTTCACAATTTCTTCTTAAATCAATGCCTAATGTCTCCTTAGGAAGAGATGCTTCTTCAGCAGAATCTCCCTCAATGTTGGCTGCCTGCCTCAAAAACATGCTCCTGCCTTCCTTCCCTTGTTCCAGTGTCTACCATACTGTCAGTATATGGCGAATCACATAACCTTTCAGAGAAGGCATTTTTCATTCACGTGTCATGGCTTCCTGAAGAGGTAAGTTGAGAGACAAGCCTGACTCTTCTAGAACACACTGACATCTGTGGTACCACTGCATTTTGCATTCACCTAAGAGCACACCAGCAGAACACATCACCTCTGCGGCACTCGGGCAGACAGGCTGCAAAAGAGTTGATCGTTCTGCCCGTGAACGCAACTTCTCAAACTCTGATGCAGACCAATTCCTCTTCTGCACAGGACTGCAAAGAAACTGAAGATATCAGCTCTTCCATCTCTCTGTCCCAAGAGTCTGTCTGGATTGATTTTCATTTTGCAGTCAGAAGGAAAGGAGGAAAAAGAATCCACCCTCCTTGGATGTTGCTTGTTACTCCAGCACCTTTGAGTAAATTTATCACATGACCCTGTACTATCCACAGGAGACACTAGCAACTTACCCTTAAATACTATTTCTTTTCCTGCTTTTTATACCACAATGTAGTAAGTACCTTTCCCCACTTTAAGACTTCTTGACTGATCAAGTCACCTCCTTGCAACATCCTCTGCAATAAAACTGGATCCTACAAGTACACTTAAAGTGACAAGTTTATTCTGCTGGACACCCATCATCTCTTTGAATTCCTTTTCCCTTATCCGGCATGCATGCCTTCCTTAGAGGCAAAGATCTTTATCTGAGGTGAGATAGACAAGCCACCTCTGAGATGTAAGGACTTGAAAATGAGATATCATTTATTTTCAGAATATGTTTTGGACATATCTCAAGCCTCATGAGACCTAGGAACTTCACAGTGCTTTTATTCAGAAGTTACTTCTAAGCTTGTCTCCTTGGAAAGTCGTTCCTAATTAACTCCACGTGGGTACTCTTGCTCCTGATAAGAGCGCTTATTCCACAGTGACAACACTCACAAAGGGAATTAATCAGAGAGAATAATTCTGCTTTCGACTTGCACCAAGCCTTAATCTGAATTAAACTCCTTGTGAAACAGTCCTCTCATATCTCTTTAGTCTCAGAAGACTAAATCCACATTCAAGACAGAGAGCGAAGGTCCTGACACACAAGGAGAAGCCTTGGTAGGCCTAGTTTTTGGATGTTATCTTCCACAACAGAGTAGGCCGACCTGCATTCACCAGTTCTGCTTCTCAGAGTGGAGTGAGGTGTTTAAGAATGAATTTTACAACAAGAAAGCACTGAAGCAAGACAAGCAAGGACTTCTGATGAAACCTCTTTCCTAGACATGGGTGTCCATCTGCAGTCTTAAGACACCTGTGTTAAACTAGGAGCCATGGCTCTGGGCCTTCTCCAAGATTTTATTTGTCAAACGTCCCCCTGCTCTGGGTGTGAAAGAACGGTTTGCTCTTCTCTTTGGGGAACACTTACACTCCGAGCTCCAGGTAGAGCTGGCAAGCTCCAGCTAGACCAGGTACTAGATGGAAGAGCTGCCTGCCCAGCACCTACAACAGTGGTACACGTAGTAGCTCAACTTCCAACAGCCAAATTAGTCAACTGACAAAATACAGGAACTAGAAAACACAAGGCTCTTACACAACATGGCAAGACATTTATCGATCTGTCTTTGACTCAGCTACACAAATTCCACTTCAAACGATTAGGTTGTTCCTCTAAAATGCGTTAAGCAATTTGTAGAATCAAAGGGGAGGGCACCTACAGCAACCCACAGAACCAAACTCTAATCTCTCAATAACTACAACTGCATGTGCGTGTGTGTCTAGCAGAAACACATGCGTACAGATTTTGAAGATAGAGGTGGAACCTCATGCTGATACACTAAACCGGCTTTAATAGCCCAGCAGCACATTCACCAGTGCTCCTTCCCAGGGCCCTCCCATCACCCTTTTTAACACAGTAGCATGTAGGACAGGCCCCAGCAGGTCAGGTTCTGATTTCCTCAGGACTTTCTCAGGGCAGAATTCAGTATGTTTGCGTGCCACACTAAATTACAGTCCAGGTATTACAATTTCACAAAGTTATACTCACATTCAAGCAGTCCTGCTCACATACAGCCTGCCAGTGTGTAAAGGTTCTGTGCTCTAACACGCCTCAGCTCAGGGAAACTGTAAACTCTGCTGATGCAACCCAGGACTTAGCCTACTACCCATGAAACCACCAAGCTTCAGGAACTTTGTATGCACAAAAATAAATAGATAAAACAAGCAAATAAACAAAAAACCACTGGCAAAGCAATTGGCACAACAGAAATTTCAATCATAGAAGTCCAACGGACTTGGATGCAGCACAACGTAGACTGGCACAGCCTAAAAAGAAAGCAAAATTATAAATTAACAGGGGGTTCCAGTGCTGCCAGCAGTTTCAAATGCATGTGTTATCTGACAGAATAGCACAGGCACTCACTCTTAGGTTTCTAAATCTATGTTTTCAGCACAAAAAAAAAAATGCAGAAGTGAAAGCTCTTTTGCAGAAAGCATTGGCAAACGAGTGCCAAAATATGGACAGTTAACAACTGCGGCTATTCATTTCAGGCGTATAACTGTTATTCACTGAAAAGAGAATTTCAAAAAGCTGCTGTCAAAACAGAAAATGATAGAAAGTGTTTCAGAAACAGACCATTTTCCAAAGTCCAAGGATAAAGATATAGATACACAGAAATATATCAATTTTTCCACACCTCATTTAAGTGAGAGAAGAAATTCCATACTTGCTTTTAGTTTACCAGGACATGAGCGTTCAACTCAATCAAATCTTACTAGAGCAAGTCTTATTCCCATTGACTTCCCAGGAAGTTCTGTTGCCAGTTTCAGAAGCACAGGAACAGGTCCTAACTTAGTCACAACTCAACAAAGATAAAGATTCAAAAAGCACATACTCTGAATTCGTTAAAAGTTTTCTCTGTTACAGACCGAAAGGGATGCAGGGAAGGGGTATCAGAAATGCACTCCTTATCATCAACAAACACTGTTTGAAAGAACACATCAAACTACTGGAGAGCTGACACAAGATGGACATTTCATGCATGCATTTCACTGCACTTCCTTGGAAAGCACTGAGATAGTTACCTTCATCTGCAGTCAATATAGAGATTAGCCTCTAAAGCTTTCCACAGCTAACAATTTTCCTTTTTTTCCTCGTAAGGAAAGTAATGCTGACTATTATCTATTAATAGCCTCCATTTAAAAAACAGTCTTTTCTAGACACTTGTCTTCTGGGCAAGTGTATCAAAAATTCAAGTCTAAAGATGAAAATGGCCAGAAAGCAAACGGAAAAGAAAACAGAAAAGACTAAGGGTGGACAGAGCACAAAGGGAAGCCAAGCCTTTTCTGCTAAAGAGAAAACTGTTGCATACATGGCATAGAGTTGAGGAAAGAGAGTCTAAATCAAACACTGTTCTCAAGTAACACAGTACATCTCCTCCTGTCATCATTACCATTGAACAGAATGTGAAACTAAAGTGACAGATGGAACTACGTTGCCCATCGCACACTGGTGACGCTTCGAGCCTGACTAACCACATATGCCTCAGGAAAAACGTTCCTCCTGGGTTAATCCAACCACACAGCACAAAACATCCAGCCTCTGAGGGAGCCTGACCTCAGAGCTCATTCTATGGCTGCAGTCTCTGTGAGTTACATTCTCAGAGCCATTGCCCACATTGCACAGCCAATAACAGTACAAGAACATCTACAGGTCAAACTATTCCAGAGGAACACCAGGAAACGACTAGAGAAAGACTGAAGTGATCACCCTGCTGAGCTGACAGTGAAAATACCATAACATTCCCTCATCTACTGTCAAGAAAAGACAGCTCCTTTGCAACACAGACAGAAAAATCACAGAATAAAGAAAGTAGCAATCAGGGAAGAGCAGGTACAAACAAGGCCCACTAGTCACATCAAGGATCTTACCAACCTTTGCCCTTACCTTTAATAAGCTCTGGTTTGTAGGCTTTTCTTAGCTGCTCTAGGAAGTTGTTATAAAAACACTCTGCCTGCTCTGTAGGCATTGCCATATGGTAGTCGGGCTTGTTTCCTTTCAGGATGCACTGCAGAGTAAATTGGCTCACACACAACACTTCATACTGTTTATCCATCACACTTTTGGACCAGTGCTTCCCACTTTCATCTTCAAATACTCGCAAGTTCAAGATCTTTCGAACCCTAGGAGGAGAAAAAGAGAATTCCTAAATTGTCCCATGCAGGATCAAGAGGTACAATTTAAAGCCTACCACACAGGATGAGATAAAAGGGAAGGCAGATGAATATTGATATCAAATATATCTGCCTCCACATAACAACGTATCCCTTTGTCCCTTCCTTCCTAAACCACGAGAATCTCGTCACATTAGGCAGAGCCATAACCAAGAAAGCCCTTACACATAACACTGTCAGATCATCAATTAACATCATCATGTTACAGAGCATGAGATCAGGACAGAATAACTGCAAGCTACAGGGTAACATAGAGATGGCATAGAAGGTAAGAAAGCTTACTCTTTACTATCTGATTTTATGTGTCACAACATTATTTAACACGTGAATAGCTTTGGGAATTTAAATCCTCCCACCACACTGGGAAATCACACTCAGTACAAAATGAGATCATCCCCAACTAAGGTTGTTTCCAAACACGATTCACACATATTGCTTTCCAGTACTTAAAGGGGGCCTACAGGAAAGCTGGAGAGGCACTTTTTACAAGGGCAAGTAGTGATAGGACAAGGGGCAATGCATTTAAACTGAAAGAGGGCAGGTTTTGATTAGATATAAGGAAGAAATTCTTCACTCTGAGGGTGGTGAAGCACTGGAACAGGTTGCCCAGAGAGTTGTAGATGCCCCATCCCTGGAAGTGTTCAAGGCCGGGTTGGATGAGGCTTTGGGCAACCTGGTGTAGTGGAGGGTTTCCCTGCCCATGGCAGGGGGGTTGGAACTAGATGATCTTTGAGGTCTCTTCCAACTCTAACCATTCTATGATTCTATATTTCTCCAGCTTTGTTACCTCCTAGCACTCTTCCCAAACCCAGCCCCACAAGCCAGATGAGGACAGCACATTTTCATCAGGATGAGAGAAGGAAGGCAGGGAACAGTGCAGAACTGCAGCTGGCAGCAAAGTGGTGACTGGGACTTGTTTGTATTTGTATTAAGGCTGATTTTTAGAGCTGGGGGGCAGAACTCACTGGTTTGAATATTCAGAGAGGACAAGGAGACTTTCACAAATGGATCCTGAAAAGCAGCAGGCAGATTTGCAACCCAGTGTATGACTGGACTTTGAATGATAACAAGACGGCATGCACGCCACTTTCCTGTCTTTGGTTTCTTCTTTCAGCTTCTACAAATCTGCAGCATCTATAAACAAGGGAGCATATCAAGTGCAAAGCATTTCAACTGCAGCCATCAGCCAGACTATTGTACGTTGCACCAGAAGTGAAGCAGTTAGTATAAAATAAAGCTGAGACTTTGTTATGGTCAAGCTTCAGGGCTTTGCCCCCACTAAGGCACAGTTACAAAAACCATCCTTGCCATTTTGTGCATAAAGACAAACAAAATTGACTCCTAAATTAAGTGGTTGATTAAAAGCCTCGGAAGGCCCCAGCACATAGGCTTAAATCATCATCACCGCTGTGTTTTAATAATAAAGATGTCTGTTGTTTCATTTACAGGATTACTAAAGTTTCCTTTAATACCACTTGAAGAGCCTGGATAAGCTGATTTCTTTCATTCCTTTTTTTCGGATGCCGGCTTCCTGCCTTTCCTGTGTCAATAATCCAAACAACCTGGTGTTGAGAGCAATATTCAGAATCATCTTTCACATTCACCAAGGTAGGAAAGAGAAACAATAGCACAAATGTTGCACACTGAGTAGGCAAACAGTAAGGCAAGCCAATGGAGCATGTCATAATACAAACACCTTCAGCTTTGCAGTAATTGTCTACAATTTTCACATGTTTATGTGAGCTCTTTGGTGACCTGTAGTTCACATCTCCACTCTCTACTTTCTCTTCCACATGTGCTAAAGGTTGTTTTCACTCTCGCTCACATTCTTCTCTCTTCACTGCTTCAGCCTTTCCTCTTCTTGACATCAGTTAGCTCTATTACCTGTTTCTTCCTTGCCTTTGTAAAAACTGAGGTCAGCCCTAGAACAACGAACAGTCCAAAAGGGACAGAAGAAGCCCCTACAGAACTCTCTCTTGCACATGTTTGCCAGCCAAATCACACTATTTTGTGGCCATGGAACAGATGGCCAGAGCCAGCCCTCCAGGCTGCCAAAATTGATTCACTTTTACAGAAAAGTAACGGATGAGACTGTGTCACCTTTTGGAAGAACAAAACTTCTCATGGACAAGTTAAAAATGAGAGTTCGATGTTTCTGATACATCCCATCCTTGAAGGATTGAGTCCTTCAGGATAAATTCATACAGTAAAAAGAACAGACATTTAAAAAAGGGATATTAGAAGAACTCAACACGTTGATTCTTCCTTTTTGAGTCTGTTCTTGATAGAAACACATAGACAGGGAACAAAACCAGATTTTTCTCAATGGAAAATAAAAAAGAAAACTCTAAGGAATCTGTATTCAAGGTAAAATATGAAGAGGAACTAATAGGCAAACCTGAGTTTCCCAACAGGAGCGCCCCATTTGTTTGGCTACTGCACAGGTATTACTGATTCGGTGTCAGAAACGCACAAATAAAAGAGTACAAGGCAAAAGGAAATATGTGACTTACATGTGCTCCAGTTCTCTTTGCGTGTCTTCCAAAGAAATGCCCAGCAGCACACAGAGACCTCGTCCTATTGAACTTATTTGTTCACCACCCACTGGGGAAGGAGGAGAAAAAGAAAAGTAAGGCTAAATGCACTGTCTTGTTTTATGACACAGGTAAGTACTGGTTTCAGCTGGCAGCTATACAACCATCAAAGAAAACATAATTAGAATCATAGAATCATAGAATCGTTAGGGCTGGAAGGGACCTTCAAAGGTCATCTAGTCCAACCCCCCTGCAAGGAACAGGGATATCTCCAACTAGATCAGGTTGCTCAGGGCCTCATCCAACCGGGCCTTGAACGTCTCCAGGGATGGAGCATCCACCACCTCTCTGGGCAACCTGTTCCAGTGTTCTACAACTCTCATGGTAAAAAGTTTTTTCCTAATATCCAACCTGAATCTACCTCCCTCTATTTTAAAACCATTACCCCTTGTCCTATCAAATCAATCTATCAATTCTAAACCCTTCTTCTCTGTCTTAAGTTTGTTGGAGAGTAAAGATCACATAGAAGCCCTCTTTCAAAAGTCTTCCCAGTGTCGTGAATTATTTGTGAGGGACTAGGTCAAGATGCTCATTCCAGCATTTAAAAACACTGTATAAAGATTTTTTACTACGATTGGATCAGCAGTGCTAACCAGAGAGGTGGCAGAACTCGCTCCAATCCTTGTAAAAATTATCCACCTGGTTGATATCAATGAGTGTACTCAATTTCTCTACTCTACCACTCCCTACATACTTTGCATTAGTTGTGAAAAGATGATTTCCACTTGATATAGTCCTCACAGATTTTTTGAAACAAGACTATTAACAACCTGCAAATTCTGCCCTCCTAGATGGGAACACAACCTCTTAAATGACATTTACAACAAAACACAAAACATTGCAGATTCATTGCGTTTTCCTAAGAAACGTTTTAAATTATCTTAATTTAAATTATTTTATCGTGGTTGAGCCTGAGATGACTGTAGTAAGATTTAAATGAGGTCTTAAAAGTGAGATAATCACCAGCTATTCGGCTGTTAAAACTATATCCAGGATTATGCAACCGGGAAAAAAAGCCCCAAATATCCTGTAAAAGGAAAGGAGAGCAGGCCCCCAGTGAAAGCTCAAAGCTTATGTCCGTGAACCAGTGACGAGATCTGGACTATTCCCAATGGGGAGAAGCAAACCAGGGAGGGAAACTCCTCCCAAAAACTCTTCCTCTCCACCTGATCAAGGTATGAGCCCTCCAGCTCAGAAATCTATCCCCCCACTAAGCACAGCACCAGCTCCCTCACAGAGGGACATCTCAAACTTCTTAACAGACAGAAGCGACAGTTTAAATTCTACCCAGAAATGCGGCGATAATTCAGTCACAGCCCCAGTGCTGACGGTGTCTGACCACTATAGAACCTGCAGTACCAGCTGTGCGCAAAAGCTGTGCTCCCTGCTTCTTCCCAGGCATGCTCTTCCAATGCTCACAGACCATTCCCACAGGAGCAGAAGCTGTTTATTTAACGGGCAGGCTATCCTGCTGCACACCACCTTGCTCCTGGGCCCGGTGGCAGCCACGCTTACTGCCCGCCATGCAAACTTCTCGGAGATTTTAAGCATCTCAAACACAGAAAGGGCCAACCAGTCCAATAGCAGGGACATACTGTCGGGACACACCATTCCTACTGGCAGCTAAGCCAGCACCAGGGCTACCACTGCCTTCCTTGACCCATGCAAGCAATGCATGGCAGCAAGCTGCTGACACACACAAGCAACGCAAAGAGGCAACATAGTGCCAGCATGTGCCAGCCATGCCAGGCGGCAAATGAGGTGGCTCCATTGACACACACACAAGCAATGCAAAGAGGCAACGTAGTGCCAGCATGCACGAGAAGCAACGCAAAGAGGCAACGTAGTGCCAGCGTGTGCCAGCTATGCCAGGTGGCAAGCGAGGTGGATAGGTGGCTCCATTGACACACACACACAAGCAATGCAAAGAGGCAACG